GTTGATCTTATTTGGGGTCCTTTGTATTTCTTGGGACTGGGTCTTTGAATGTCTAAGTTTGGAAAGTTTTCTTCCAGGATTTCATGGAATAGATTACCAATGCCCTTAAAAGTCTCTTCACTTACCAGTTATCCAGATGTTCAGACATTTGATGGCATCTAGTATTTCTCATATATTATTCTCATTTTGGGGACAATTTTCTCAGTTTTCATGGTGAATTTTTTTAGGCCAGCGATTCTATCTTCTACATCTGAGATTCAGTTTTCTGTATGATCTAGTCTGCTTTTAATACTTTGAAGGGAGGTTTTGACTTCCTGTATTATAGCCTTCATCTCTTAACAGGTCCATTTGATTCTTTTTTATAGTGTGTATTTCCTCTTTTAGATCTTGCGAGAATTTACTCAGCTCCTGGAACTCATCCACTCCTTTTTCCTGCCTCTTCTGCAGTTCATTGTCTCTCTTCTCTTCCATCTTTGTTAGCTTTGTCTCTATGAATATTCTGAATTCTTTATGTGACATTTCTGTGAGTTTCATTGTACTGTCTGAGGATGAAGAGGAGTTATTATTTTCCCTTGGAGGAGAGGTATTTTCTTGCTTTCCCATATTTCTTGTGACCCTGTGGTGATTTCTAGTCATCTCATGGATGGTGCATTTCTTTCTAAATCTTGAAGTTCAGTCTGAGTGTGCAGAGGTGTGCAGGAGGAGGTGATCTTCAATCTATCTTTTGTTCTGTTTTTCACTCTTTGTGCATCAGATTCAGTGAGAATTGAGGAATATTTTGACCCTAATCATATTCAGATATTTGGATCCTGTTCACTTGGACCTGTCTAGTCACTTGGTGTATAGAGGCCACTAGAATCAAATCTGGAGGGAAAAGTCTTAGCAGAAAAATCTTCATTTTTTAGTCAGTGAAAGCAATATTTCACAGCTCAAATTCAGTATCCATCTCAGGATCTTGTGGATATCTCTTAAAAGAAAAACAAAAAAACAACTTTTTAGTGTAAGAGCTGTTTTTAAAAAGTTCAAGGACTTCAAAAATTTTTTTGAATAATTTTTTAAAATTATTCTAGGGACCAGCGATTGGTGTAATGGCTATGTCGCTGGACTCCATGTAGTCAACTGTGGTTCGATCCCCTGACCCAGTCGCTTAAACTCTCACCAGGAGTGTGTGTGTGAGTGCCCAAGATCCCAAGAGGAGAATGAGAAGGGATTGCAGTGTGGCCATCCCCCCAGGGGGTG